TCTCTCTCTCTCTCTCTCTCTCTGCACTTATTTTTCTAATATTTTATTAATTCTTTGTATGAAATAGTTTTTTAAAAACACATGAATAATAGAGAATTTAATACTTTTTCTCTAAACGCTTAGACTATTTGATTAAAAATTTTACATTTTCCTCATTTCATAGCAGCCATACATTTGAGTGTATTATTTATTTCAAATTCTTTAGTGAAAAGGTATTTTATTTCTAAAATTACAACACAATTATATTTTATTCAATAGGATTCTGTATTCACGTTTAATAATTATTATATTATTTACAATTGCAAACATACATGTATGCCACTTTTGTGTAATCCAGACTTTTGTCCAAATCATTATTTCAAAACATTTGAACAAATATTTAAAATTTTATAATACTGTAAATATAAATTGCATTATATTTGTAGAAAATGAATCTAGATTAAATTTCTTGATGGCACATAGAGTTTATATTATTAGACAGATGCTTGCATATATTTTAATACACAAACAATACCATTTGCATAATTCCCAATTATAATAAATATATTTAAAAACTCAATTAGACCTCAATCTTATTGTATTAGAAATGCATTAACTGAAAGGATTATACGGATTGTCATATAATTAAATGAAATCTAATTAACACTAATATATTGAGAGATTTATTTAATATAATTGCAGATATTTTCGGGACAATTTCAGCTATGTTAATAAGGATGCCATAGGAATTTGGGGCTGGAGTTATGGTCAGTACAGTTAAACTAAATTACCATCATATTAACCAAAACCATAACATAAGACTTAATGAAAACATCAAATATCTGGCGATATATAGGCGGTTACGCGACGGCACTGGCGCTGGCAATGGACACGAATAACCCGGTGTTTTCGTGTGGGGTTTCTGTAGCGCCGGTCACTTCATGGCTTCTTTATGGTAATTACATATTATATTATATGATATTTTTTCGGCCATAAAACTCCACATCAATTACATTATAATATTTTCTTTGCCGTTCACTTCATTTAATGGATTTTTGGTGTTTTCTCTCTCAGATTCTGTTTACACCGAAAGATATATGGGTTTACCAAAGGATAATATGGAAAGTTATCTCCGATCCGATGTACTCAACAGAGCCCACAATTTTAAGGGCAAAAAATTCTTATTATGTCACGGATCAGCTGATGGTATGTTTCAGATTATATTACTTACTCAACCAGTAATAGGGATATTACATTACATATCGTTATCAAACATGATATTCTCAATAGTTTAGTCAAATATATTTTTACATAAATTATTCACATTTTCTTAAAACATGTTTTACTTTTTTTTGTGTATTTTTATAAAATATTTTATCAATATTTTACAATCTATTGATTGTTTTGCTAAATATATTGATATTAAAATAACAGAATATATAAATTGCCCATGATCAATGTGTTTAGACAACGTACACGTGCAACAGTCAATGGTGTTGATGAAGGCGCTGACCAACGCTAATGTGATGTTTCAAACACAGGTATATCCGGATGAGAATCACGCGCTGTCGGGAGTGAAGCCCCATCTCTACCACACAATGGAGGCCTTTTGGGACGAATGCTTTCAAACGGATTCCTTCTACGAAGACATTGGTCTCCGACGACGCCGTGTCGTCAAACAGAGCCAAAACCTATAACACACTCTTCGGGACTATAGAGTTATGTCATGTTATTTAATAATCACACACTTTCTCTATTCAGTCAAATATGTCTCATCTCTCATATGCCTTACAAATAAATGAACAAAAACAAAGTCAAAACTCAAAAACATGTATTTCTAATGTAATACCGATTTAATATTTAATATATAGATATGATTACGAAAAAACATAATATACTTATTATAAGTTATATAACATAATACTGAAAGGAATTGCATTTTTGCTATACATATAATACCTCTTAAAGAATAAATCTTTTATACTATTTAAACATTTCGCGGAATTAATAAATATTTAAAATTATTTTTACAAAAAATATAAATATATAAATATAAACCTACGAAAGCGAAACTGTTGTGAATAAGAATTATAAAAATTTTAAAATTATTAATAATTAGAGAATTATTGTTTTTATATATACATTATAATCAGGTGTTGTCCCTAAATATTGTCCCTTTTATTAATTAACATCAAATATTTTTAATTTTAAATTTATTAAATTATCTGTAAATAACAATATTAATTATAAACAAATTTTTCATTTTATGATAACATTTCTTAAAATTATTTCATACAAATCATATAAATATGTAAGAAATGACATAACGGGCGCTGCAGTGTGTTTTCCCGTCACATAACACCAGTCCCTTCTGTACTTTGCATACCATATGTATAAGTTCTACATTAAACTACTCTTTACTAAAATTCAATAACAATATACAGTAGCAGTATTTTCTAATAACAATCACCGAAATGTGTTTGAAAAGCCCTATCGTTTAAAGTGAACGCCTTTGAGAGTCCGTTATGTGTCGGGAATAAGTGTCCGCAAAATCCATACATTTATATATTTTAATAATTATTAATAAAAAACATTTCTATTCATATATATTACACATGTTTGTACACAGAATCCCAAATATATATATGATTTAAATAAATAAATTGTTTGTAATTTAATAAATCATTACAATATACTGTATGTTGTAATCCATCAAACTCTGGTCTATTGTTGACTATATCTAAAATAAAGATTTAAATTATATAACAATTAAAGTACTCTTGAAATAAATTTATATTAATTTTATCAATTATAAAAATTATTTTTATTTTTAAAAATACATTTAAATAAAATACAAAAACTGATACGTTTTGCGCTGTTTTGGCAGAAATTTCATGTGATAACAGAATTAATGACTAAATTAGTATAAATTAAACTCGTGTTTATCACAGCATTAAATAAATTTTATAAATTCAATGGATTAGTCCTTCGCATAATCGGCGGCACATCTGAAGCCAAGATTACCAGCGGATGAGTCCTATAATTGGTATACAATGTATGAATAAAACTAATTTACATGCAATAATATGTGTAGATTTAAGTCATTTATTTGAGATTCGTTTCTTATAAAACATTTAAATATTTCATTTTATATAACATTTTCATTGTATGCAAAAATTGTTATAATATTTTCTATATATTTCATACGAAACATTAGATTCTGGAGAAAATTGTTCAGAAAATATGATACAATATATTATAACAAAAACAACACAAAGATTACAGTTATTTTGCGATTGTAAGTTTCAATACTTATTTTACTCGCGTATTAAATCAAATCTTTTATTCCCATTTTTCATTAGTTTAATAACAAGTTTATTATCTGCTTTATTTAGAATTCTTTGTTTGTTTTTGTGTCAATTATATAAAATCTATTCAAATACCATAAAAGCATTTTCTTTCTCATTATATACTGTTTTAACCACAATTTAGATATGAAAGTGGTTTATATGATAGTCATGGGTAATGCTAATTCTATGGTCTAATGATAACTCTATGGCTATGATAATTGATAATGATAATTTTATAGGATTAATGCTAATAAAATGGACAACCTAAGTCTATGTTAAATATATGGAAAATGCTAATCTATTTTCTGAGCATCACGCGAATTGTGGTTAACGTATAGCATCGCTGCGTAAACCTTGTTTAATATAAGCTTATTTTTCCGTAAGCTTTGTATTTGTCTTAAAGTTTGTTTTAATTCAAAGTCTGAATACATTATTGTATAACTTATATGAACTGAATTCTCATTTTCTAATCGCATTAAAAAACTTTTGTTTTTTTGTAATCCATTTGATTCATATAAAGTTCACTAATTTGTGGAGAAATAGTTAAGTAATTGAGGCGAAAGTCAATTATATTTATTATAAACATTTCTATAAAAGCATAATATGTGGCACTCATGGGAACGATGTATAAATATAGGTGAGAGGGTGTGAGAGCTGACTGACACTCACATACATCACAAGCAATCACTTATGCATCGCATGACACACTCGGATCAGTAAACAGCTCCTCCACGGGTGGCCTGACATCTGAATTAACACTAATACTACTTTCCATTAACGGACAACTTTAATGTCTCTCTCGAAATGTACGGCAAATTAATTAAACCCTAAATACGAGGGGACTGTCAGGACATACCGGTGTGTTTTGACTCCTGGCCACACATCGATACCGATAGCAATAGCTCTTGTGGCACATATAGGAACCTCCCTTTTTAACCCTATCGGTGCCAGAATCGGGGCCTTTCGGGTTAACAGACGGTTCGCTACTGTGTTTCACTGTCCACCAGTCGGCCGTCCACTCTATCACCGAAAATAATGTGTAAAATTATGTCAAACCAGTGCTTATCACCACAAATAAAGTGCTTTATATACCCCAGACATTGCCCACTATATTCTTGAGTCCAAATTTATTGGCTGGAAATGAATCGACAGGTGCTGTCCCTACAAACCCGTCGTCTCCTATTGTGGATAATATTATAGCATTTTAAGCAAAATATTTAAAATAATAGTTTTGTTTCAATGCCTGTGTTATGGTTGGGAAACTCTCCGGTCCACAGGTTGGCGAAGTGCTGGTCGTGTGGATACAATTTGTTACCCCACGGGAAGAGCCGATTCTTGAGACCCGCCCGACACGCGTATTCCCACTCGGCTTCGGTGGGCAAACGCATGCCTTTCCACTGACAATACCTATTGGCGTCATTCCAAGACACGTGAATTACCGGATGATCCCAGCGATCATTAATATGTGAATCAATGCCTTCGGGGGCTCTCCAGGAAGCGTTGGGAACGGGAAGCCTATACTCACAGCAGTTATTGATTAATAGCAAAAAAGGCACGATTTGTCAAATAATAATAATTGCAAGAATTGTAACACTAATTATGGCATTAATATATCATTTACTAATTGGTGTCTATAGTCGTAATGTAAACTCAAAGCTCATGTTTAATTTCACAATTTAATTAAACTGCCCATGGTAATTTATAAAACACTAACAATTGTACTAATTAAGCGATAGCTGTATGACATAGGTAAATGTAGTGTGACATACCACCATGGTGCCTCTTTAACAGCTTGAGTAATATTCTGTTTGACGTCTTCGCTGATCATCTTTTCAAAGACGAAAGAATTGGCAAAAACCTCGGCTTCGGTCACGTAATTGGTTTCGTCGACAAACGCCTTAAACGCCTCATTACTCACTTCTGTCCGATCCATATAAAAGTCATGGACCGTCACATCCCTGGCCGGGCCCTCGCCGTCGGCCACAAACACGGGCTCATTCGTGCCCATCGTATTTGTACCGCCTTTTATGTGAACAATACTCTCATTTTGCAAACAATCTGTTTTTGTTTTGCAAAAACTATTTTCTCCTTTCGCTTGAATGTCATTATCGTCTTTATTGTCGACAT